GTCCACTGCATCATCCAGCTGGATACTGTTAGGAAGTAGTTAACCCAATCTCATCTCAATAGTTGTCATCTTTCAATATACATATTCTTATCGTCACTCGATGGTTATTTTCCCTTTCTGTTCTTCTGATATATGTATTCACTCTTCTGCTTTTTATGATATGTATTTCTGTGGGTATTTTTCATTCCTATTCTTCTCTCTCTCTCACTCTCTCTCTCTTGTACAATAGCTGTTTTTCCCAGTTTCCCAAAGGGATCTTCCTGTAGCTAAAATATACTATATATAGATGTTAATTTATTGAAATAAATTGTGTGTAACTGTTACATTCTCCTTTGGCTATTAACCATTGGATGCAAAACGATTCTGAAAGAAATAACCTCACAATACTCAGGGACATGTCGAGTAAAACTACTTATAAGACCCATTAGAAAAATATGACTTTTTGCCTCGGGTCGATGATCGAGCTGAAATTTTGCGCATAGACTACTAGATCGATTCGAAACCCGACAGCGCCAAGAAAGCCATTTTCCAAGTGCTTAGGTAGAAAAAGTTGAAGATGACGGGAATATACAGCAGAAAGGGGTATTTTCTGCCTAAGGATTTGGAAAATATTATACTATGCGCTGTCGGGTTGCAAATCTACCCAATAGTCTGTCCATGAATTCTCAGCTTGTTCATCGACCCGAGGCAAAACTTGATAATTTTTGTAATGCTATAAGTAAATCTGATATAACCTTAAGGACTCCATTTTTCATGCTGAACGACAATCTGAAGTCAGATTTTGATTTTAACTTGAAACGGCTAAAATTGGCCATTTTAGTATTCTTCAGGTACCATCGACCAGTGCACCTTGTCGAAGGTGCCCCGGTTCCCCCGAGTTTTTTCTCCTGCTCTTTCCAGTGAGACTAACCCGAAATCAAACGGTTGAAGTCTTGCAGAGATATCAAGGATTTCAGGTGCAACAAAAAATAGGAGATTTTTGAGGGTCCAAAAAATGGGTCGTTGGAGTGCAATTGCTCTAACTCCTCATAGGAAGGTTCAAAAGCCCTAATATTTTGGCTATGAGATATGGGCACCGGGGGCTTCAAAATCAACCAGAAAAGGCCCAAATCTGAATACCCCGCTGGGATGGGTTTGGGTGGTTTACCATGGACCCGCTCTTAAACTCATGATGAAAATGATGGAAAAGACATGAAAGTAATTGGATGACTTTGATGTATTTTCCATCATTTTCACGTCATGTCTTTGATGTGTTTTCCATCATTTTCATGTGATGACTTTGATTGAAAAGTCATGATGTCACGTCATTGAAAAGTCATCGATGAATTTCCAAATTCATTGATGAAAATGTCATTTCCATCATCTTCATTTCATTGTTTTGATGACTGTCATCATGACTCTATAGTGAATTTTTGATGACTTTGATGGATGGAAAAGTCAGCATGTTTTTCGATGTTTTGACTTCCTGGAGTCTAATACAAGCGCATAGGCTTGTATTCGGACCTTCACAACATATGATCTTTTTCTTGCCATGCTCTTGGATGTGCTCTATGCTTTCACAGGAAATATCAGTGGTAAAAAAATCAGCTCATTTGGTCAAAGCACGGTGGAGATATTCAAAATTTTTCTTTGTTTAGTTACTTTCTGGACACCCTATAGCTTAGTACTTAGAACCAAACAGTGTGTGTGATCCACTTTCACGCAAAAGAACTGTTTGGACAGATCAGTTTCTTCGAAAGAAGTGTTCGGGCAGTTCAGTTCTTCCAAAAGAGCTGTTCATACAGTTTGGTTCATGCAAAAGAATTGTTCATTTAGTTCAGTTCAGTTCTTCCAGAAGAACTAGAACTGTTTAGACAGTTCAGTTGCTTCAAAAGAACTGTTTGTACAGTTCAGTTCTACTCGAAAGAACTGTTCGAATAGTTCAGCTCCTATCAAAAGAACTATTCATACAGCTCAGTTCTTTTGTGCAAGTGAGCTGAACTTGAGAACTTGATCTGTTATAGTCCTACTGTTAGTAGTAACAATCGTTCAGAATTCATTAATGTGCGTCAGAAAGCCCGCTGATTTGCAACAATCGATCGAGCGCTTTGCTCAAGAGAGTAATTGACTTACCGTATACCAAATGAACGTGGATTGTCTGTCACCTCATGATGATCGCAAGGAAATTATTTTCTATAACTGGCTTAAGTTATAGCACTACTGTAGAATATGACGTTTCATATTTCTTTTTGTCGCTTCTTTTTATACTTATCGTTGCGTAAATAATAGTGCTTTCAGTTTGATGACTCAAATTACTTTGAGAAATCGTTAAACAGGTTTGCAGTATATCTTATGTGGACCTACATGATTTGGTGAATCCACTGACTGAAGAAGATTTTTTTCGCTTTTCAAAACCATGTTTGTATAGGTAGACACCTTGCTCATATGTCGAAATGAAAGCCTGGAAATAAAGCTAGTCAACAACAACGATTCTACCGTCTTATTTCTTTTAGTTTCAATGAGTGAACTCCACAGAAGTTCTCTTTTCGTCAAACTTATCTGTCATTGAGAAGAAACAACTGGCAGTGTGACCTTCTCAAGGAAGGTTTGTTGGACAATGAATTGTATACATGAATTATTTTTTGAACAAGCACTTCTACATCCACAAAAGATTGCCATTGTTTTGAACCAACAATCTTTAACGTATAATGAAGTATTGCATTGTGTAAAATTGCTGGCCGATTATTTAATTCAAAATCACAATGTTAAAGTAGGGGATATTATTTGTCAATACCTCGAGCGAAGTATCGAAATGGTTCTTGGGATTCTGGCAATTATATCGTGTGGTTGCTCATATTGTCCATTGTCTATCGATGATCCCGCTCCTCGTACTCATTCATTAATCGAAGAAACCAAAGCAGAATGTGTACTTGTACATTCATTAACCAAAATGAAACTAAATGATCTTCGTCATGTTTCTCTTGTAAATTGTGAACAAATCATTGTTGCTAAATATATCACAAAGGTACCACGCACATGGCCTGCATGGACGGTAAAAGTGACAGACGAGAATATTGCTTATGTAATTTTCACGTCAGGATCGACTGGACAACCAAAAGCTGTGCAAATACGCCATCGAAATTTCGTTTCATTCATCAATGCAGTGCATCACGAAGATATTATGAATAAAAACGATGTCGTTGTTCAAACTGCCTCTTGTATATGGGATCCGCACGTACAAGAAATATTAGGTTCAATGTTATTTGGTTGTGAATTAGTTATGTTGCAGCAACACGGCAATCGTAATGTCGATTATTTAATGTCTGTAATCTACAAAAACCAAGCAACATTTCTGACCGTCGTACCAAGTTTATTAATTATGTTTGCTGAATATTTTCAAATCGCTGATAAACTCGATTATATGAAAACCATCCGAGTTTTACGTTGTGGAGGTAAGACGTTCTCAGCTTCTTGAATTTCTACTTGATAACAGTCGCTTTTATATTTCAAATAACCAGGTGAAGCCCTGTTACCTTCCATAATATCAAAAATTATGCCACGTCTACCAGCATTTTGTCAAATTCTTAATTGTTATGGTCCAACCGAATGTACTCTTTTCACAACGTACCATCGGGTCACAGCTGAAGATTTATCAGCGACGTCAATACCAATCGGAAAACCCCTGCCAACTCGCCAATGCTACATACTCGACGAACAGTTCCATACTCTACCAGCCAATGAAATCGGTGTCATCCATATCAGCGGTAATCAAAAAAAAGTGTCAAACTAAATTTTTACATACATTTCTTTGAATCTTTCAGGCGCCGGAGTGTTTCCCGGATATTTTAACAACGAATCAAACGAAAAATGCTTATTACAGCTTCCAGACATATCCGACGACAAGTGCTATGTGACCGGAGATTTAGGTAAAATTGATTCTAACGGTGAACTTTATTTTGTTGGTCGTGTTGATTTTCAAATAAAACTTCGTGGTCAACGTATTGAAATTGGTGAAATTGAACGAATAATATTGAATGTATCATCAAACGTAACAAATTGTGTCGTCATTAAATATCAACAACAACCCGAAGATCAAGAACATTTAATTGCCTATGTTCAATCGTCGTCGTCATCATCAAATAACGAAATGATTATCATCGAAGAATTGAAACATTATTGTCAGCAATATTTACCATTATATATGATACCAACATGGTTTATCGTTTTGGAACAATTACCATTGAATACAAACGGAAAAGTCAACCGTAAACAACTGCCAAAACCTGACTTTTCACACTTAACACAACAACAGGCCAATGACCATCATGTGGACGAACCAAATGGAGAAATGGAAATTGAAATACATGCTTTATGGTGTCGACTCTTATCCATTGATACATTGTCAATGAAATCAAATTTCTTTTCGATGGGTGGCAATTCATTACTGTTAATGAAATTGTACAATTATTATTTATCGACATTTTCACTCAACCAACAAATTATTAATATTGCAATGTTATTTAAACAATCAACCATTGTGGAACATGTTCAATTATTAAAAAATGCTTTATTAAAGACGGTCAATGATACTTTCGTGGTGCAACAACAACAATGGAAACCATTAAATAT